AATATAAAGTCATTCTTTAGTCATTTGAAATCTAGATTTTAATCATAATGTAAAAAATGACGTAAATTCGGTCAATTTGACGTCAAATTGATATTATTTTGACTTTTCTGTTCTCCTTGGGATTTTGCTGCTGCTGCGTGCTGCGTATGAAAAGGCACCTTTAGAGTCCCTCTAATTCATTTTGTGAAACGGAATAGGATCAAATACAACTAGCTAGGCGTAGACCCTACCCGTAGTTTGTAAAATTGATTTTTTTTAGAGTCGAGATTTTTATAATCGATTAATTAAAGAAAAAAAGAATCAATTCCAAAAAATTGATTTGAAGTAAGAATAAGCAGACGTAACTATATAGGCTAGAGGGAAAAAAGTTAAGCACGAAAAATGTTCCGTGTACTGCCAGGTTAATTGCTGAACGGAATAACTTGCAACATTTCGTCGCCATATTAAAATTCATATACATACATGCCCCATCTAATTGTGTTAGTGTATCACTTCTACGTGACTACTTCTAACATAAGTGCGACTCACTTCTACACTTGATACACAATTAAATGTGACATATATAAATTTCAATATAGCGACAAAAAAATTGTAAGTTATTCCGTTCAGCGAACCTGGCAGTACACGTAACATTTTTTGTGCTTACTTCTAATCTATGGAGTTACGTTTCCTTATTCATACTTCATAGTACAGTGTCATTCTTATAAAACTTACAGTACATGAAAGGGGAATGAGAACCGAATAGTGTCCAATGCAAGTGAGAAAGAGAATCTATACTTCTCTCTCTCACTCAGTTGATTTTTGAAAATGCGCAAGCGCGTCGTTTCCCGCTACAGAAATAAAAAGGTGCGCACGCAAGCCGCGCATGCGTAATTGCGAAAATCAACTTTGCAAGAGGGAGAGATATATCAGACGTGATCTCTCTGTTCAACTTATGGGCAGTCCCCTTCCATGTATGTAGTACATACAATGTACAGTCGTGGACACATCGGTTGCGACACTTTTTATAGGTTTCTATTATGTATGTATTTAATATAAATAATATATACTTTA